TCGGGCGGCCATTTGGGAGCCGCCGATCAGATGACTCGAAATGGCCCCTATCAGTGTTTTCGCGCCCTCCCCTTGCTTACGGAGGTCGCGAAAATGCTGCGGGGGGGGGCATTTCGGGCCATCTGCGGCCATTTTAAAGCGAGTGCGGCGATTGGGGCAGATCCGTATAGCGATCCCCAAAAAGGGATCGCTATACGGATTCTTCGTTAAACGGTGCGCTCGTTAAGCGAGGCACCACTGTACTTCTATCCATTAACTAGTATTTACCTCATCAACCAATTACACCAGCTACCCAATCTCTCTCATAAACCTTAAAAACCTCCTCTCTCCTTCTCTCTCCGTCTCCAGCTCTCCCTAACTCTCTCCTTGACTCCGCCCTCCTGTCCTCTCATAGGCTCCAGCTCTAGAGCATAACATGACGGAAAGGTGGGACATGGGCATTCCACCACAATCAGCAATCCTGATGTCATCCTGCACCACAAGAATCACAGAATGGGTAACAGTTTCAATGTCAGGACAGTTGGTTTCCCTTTTTCATTATGGCACATTACTGACAATTACTTAGATATACAGACTTGTATATTGACATGCTGAAAGAGGCCTGCCTACTTCGTTACTTATTTTACTTTTACGGGGGGGGGGCAAGTGGCTAGAAGGGTTCCACATTGAAGTAAGATCCCCCCCTAGGTTTGGCATAATCTAGCATGCTCAAGTATGCACATGTGGCTTCTAGACCGTCTAGCTATAAAGGGGGTGGTGTGGCAATATGTGTGGAATTCAAAACATATCAACAGTCTTGGCACAGAAACACAGCAAGCTTCTCTTTATAATTTCCTCTCCAACAGTCCTTACTATAAAGTATATTTTAAATCTTAAACCATCATGGAATCTATAAAATGAGGAACTCCTGAAGAGTGCTAAACTTATGAATTCAAGAGTTGTGAAAGCCATCAGCTTTTACAGGTAGGATGAACAGGTTCTAGCTTTTCCTGTAACTCCACCTAATGATGCTTTATTTTAATTTCCCTACAGTAATGAATACTCAGTATGAAGTAGTAGATAGAGTGGTGAACTAGGACTCTGGAGACCAAGGTTTGAATCCCTACTTGGCCACTGAAGTTCACTGGGGGTGCAGAACTGCTAAAATCACTCCTTAAATATCTCACTTACCTTGAACGCCCTATTAGGGTTGCTATAAGTTGGTTCCAAATTGTTGGCACATGGTTCTAACTAACTGTAATGCATAACATCAATTTATTAATACTGTATAGGGGAACATGAGCATGTAGGGACACATTGAGTCCTGGGAGCTAAATATGCCATTTGGTGACCTCATTAAGAATTAAGCCTTTTTCATTTTTGTTTCTGCATAGCCCAAACATAATTCCATTTCTTGATCTATATACACAAATTACGTATATCCTATTCTTTTTCCAAAATGTACAAAGTAGCATACATGGGGCTTCTGCATATTATTTTCAGGACTACTGTCTTTGAGATACTTTGGCCCAAAAGAGGTGATGGATCCAAAGTTACTCACTAAGGATTTGAAGTGTGTGATCAAAGGCTAGCATGATCTTCCATACCATACTGGCTCTTTTACTGTAGGGGGATATTGAAATCAGTAGCTATCACCATGGTATAACAGGACAGTTGATGGGAGTGAGGTAGGAACCTTCTTTCAAACACTATCAGTGTTTTGATATTTCTTGCCCAAGTCCCAAAGCCAGTCTCCTGTTAATTAAGTGCATCACTTTTTGCTCCTGGAATAAAGAATCGGAAGAGATATGAGCAAAACGTACCTTGGCGTGGTCCTCGTTTTCTACGGAAGGCTGCTCCTGACTGTAAGGCCTCCATCAGACTATCCATAACTCCAGTTTCATCTCCCTCTGCAAAACAAGGCAAAGGTGGTTTTTCAAAACAAAATATTTTGTTTTCAGCACTTCTTTGCCCACCCACACCTTCTCACAGATTCCAGGAACATCACTGCCTATCCTGCTCTCATATAAAAATTAAGTATCAGGCCACTCACAAAAGACTGCATGGAAATGTCACTTTTTAGATGGTACAAACTCAAAGTGAAGGGGGGGGGCTGAGAATAAGATTTTATACTGAACTAGTTTCCCTTGTTAAAAAAAGAGAAACATTCTCAATTTTAAAAAAGGATCTCAAGGAACAGGGCCCACAAGATGCTCCTTTTTAACATGCTTCCTCTCTGATATTTGCAGGGAGTTCTTTTTATAACATGGGAAGGCATTTGAGTGTGTACTGTATGCCCCATGCATGCAGTCCAGAAAGACTTCTACCACACATTTGTTTCAAGACCAAACCATAGGTATACCTGTTTTTCAAATAAATTTGGTAATTTCGCTATAAACGAAGTTATGCACTGGCAAGAGTGAGAACCATCCCTTTTTCGTCTCAGCCACCTATCATATCATTGCTTTAACTAACACTGGAAGCGAGCAAGGAGGAGAAACCACCTTAAAGCAGCAAAGTACCAGGAAGGAAAAACGTCACCACAACCCCCCCTCTTCCTGGGCATGGAATAAGGATTTGGGCCATTCCGTCCTAATGCTGAGGAATCCCCTTGCAATGCACAGGTCTGGGAGGAATCTCCTTTTAACACAGACACTCCTCCTCCCCACCCACATGGTGCAAGCTGCTTCCTGGCAGGCTCCCAGCCCTTTTTAATGGGCCCAGCTGCTGCTTTATTCCACTGCTTTGATGTGATTAGCACCCCAAGGGCATTACTGCCATCCCTTTTCCATTAATCTGCTTTTCACTCTCTAGCAGTACTCTAGCCTCTAAGGAGATTAGCCAGCCTGCCTCATCTGATCTCCTTGCCCTAGCAACAGGCATGCTCCTTGTCCAAAGAGCATGTGCCAATTGAGCCCCTGGCCTTGTTCCTGCGGCAGAAATTGGGTGCACCGCCACTGCCCTTTCCTGTCCAGTGAAAACCTGCCCACATTCTTGGGAGAGAACCATCAAAGCTGTAATTTAAACATAGACGAGGGAGGAGCGTTTTTTGGCATCCCTTCATATAGCAGAAAGGAAGGCAGTAAGACCTTGGAGTGGAAATATGGCAGGACAATTGCTGTTTCCTTGTTTTTAAGGCCTTGTGAATCTAATATTATGAAGTCAAATACTCCAGTTTCCTCTCTGCCTCTTTTTTTCCCCATCTAGCCTCCAAATGTTTAATGTCTCCAGTATCCATGTTAAATAAAAGGTATCTATCTGCATGATTATAAAGGTTTATAACACGTTCCATATTCCCTCTGTCCCCCACTCATGATCAGCCTGGTACTGAAAGTGTTAACAACAAGTTCATGAGCAGCTCTCCACATTTTAGTTTCCATGGCAACAGTTCCGATGAAACATAAACCCATAAAATCACATTAGAACATCTGTTGGGTGCTTTCATGTAGCCTGAATCCATTGTTCATAGTGCCACCTGCTGGTCACATAAACTTGCTACATCTAACCTATATTTGTGGCCGTCAACCTTTAAACTACCCTGTTTTCCCGAAAATAAGACCTAACCTGAAAATAAGCCCTAGTATGATTTTTCAGGATGCTCATAATATAAACCCTAGTTAAGTGAAACCCTGCTCTCCACCATTGTGCAGAAACCAGAAGAAGAAGAAGTCACTGTATTTGAATAGATGTAGATTGTTGTACATGAAAAAAAATAAAACATCCCCTGAAAATAAGCCCTAATGCGTTTTTTGGAGCACGAAATTAATATAAGACCCTGTCTTATTTTCGGGAAAACACGGTAGTACTTTCTACCTCTGGCATTCTGGAAAAAATGCCCAAAGAAATGGATCCTGAAGAGGAGCCACTATTCTCAACTGCAGACAAAGAGGCCTAGACATCCATCAGCTAAAGATAGGGTGTGGTGTGGTGGTGGAGTGCTTGAAGCCCTTGAAACACTGATTTTCAAAGCTTTCACCAAAAAATCTCTACAGAATAGGGTTTTGTTTTTTTTTTTTAAAAAAAAGGTTCTGTGTGGCTCAAGAACATTCAGACACACAGCTCATCCTGTGGCACTGTCCTGATACTGTCCTGATGAAATCACAATTAAACTGGCTTCTACTCAGCTGCTCAAGCTTACAGATCTGATCTAAGCACAAGGAAAAGGAGTACATCCAGATAATCTTTACTGGCAAATATCTTCCTGGCCAGGCACTGTATACACACAGCCTTCCCTCTGGTGAAACCTCTTGCACATGTGGCATGCATCCATGCCGGCAATGACAGGCCATCAGGTGCCTTTGAAAAGAGACCGGCTTCCTTTCAGGCAGACATTGTCTTTAGAAGAATACTATTAAGGGCGGGGGAGGCTTAAGTCTCTCCTTGAAAGGCATTCTTGCAACAAAGGAATCAGGAGCCATCTGGCAACCTAACATGGCCATGTGATTGATGGTAGAAAGGACACTAACGATGAGCTGGCTCTGCTCCCCAAAGCAACAGACTAGGCTACCCATCTGCATGCCAAAAGATGCAGGAGAAAACCAGCAACCACAGGCAAAACTTCTACCTCTTTTATTTTCCTTTCTGCCCCTTCATCTCGATTTGCTACAGTACCACATGCTTGAGCTTCTCCAAGGACTGCACAAAAGCAGCCGCCTGTGCAAGCAGGAGCCACAAGCAGTCAGAGGCTCAGAGATGTGCTTATAAAAATGCCCTCTTAAAAAGGAAATGCTGCTTGCCAACCCACCCACCCTGGGAAGCAATGGAGAGTAATATAAGTGCAACAGACACTGAATGGAAAACCCTCCAGGGAGCTCTGCTAGGTTAGACCAATGATCCATCATCCACTGCAGTATTCTGATCCTAACAGAAAAACAGAATGCTGCCTCATACAACTCAGACTCTTGGTCCATCAAGCTCAAGACTTACCTACACAGACTATCTAGAACTGCAGATGGGGGGGATCTTCCATCTCCCCATCTGGGGATGCCAGGAATTGAACCTGGGATCTTTGGGGTGCAATGCTAAGCAATGAGAGAGCCCGTCCACTGAAGCCAGCCAGGTGCTTCCAGGAACCCCACAAAACGAGCAAGAAGGCAACAGTCCCTTCCCTCATCTATCCATCAACGACAGGTACCCAGAAGTTTCATCAAGCCATCATGACAAAAAGCAGGGTATGGCTAGTACACCTCTTCGCTCCTTTGATTTGACAAAAGCTCTGATGCTTCATTTCTAAAGCTTAATGAAACATGGTGGGGTGGAAGAACAGAGAAGTGGTTCCTATTCTACAAAAATTAGAAGTTGGCATTAAACAAACAAACGAACTTGAGAAGTAATTCAGCCAGAACAGCAACAGTTCTCTGTTATGGACCTTTGAAGCTGACTTATATCTTTCCTTAACAAGGCCAGTGCTGTTTCTCTGCAGATATATTACACACAGTTTTGTTTCACCACAGTAACTTGAGACAGGATAGTTGGGGGAAGGGGGAAGGAATGCAAGGGGAACCATAAGCCATGTCACTCAGTACAACTTAAACTTGCTCAAAGGCAAGGATAACAGGCAGGAAATTGCAGAAGGCAGGAAATAGGCAGACAGGGATAGTAATTGAGTCCATATGTTCTGACAAAGGAATGTGTTTGGTCCTGGAGAGAAGATTGCGCCTGCATGTAAGAAAGTCTCATAAAATAGGACAGCATAATAAAACAATCTTACAAGAGGCCACTTGAGTGGACTGTCAGAACCAGCTCCTCAAAAACTTTGCACTAACACTAAAAGTTACAGATGGTCATTAGGCATGTGAACTAGCACAGTTTGAAATGGGCTAATGGAATAATAGATAATATGGCCTTCATTTACACCTCCAGATACCCATGGCAGAACAATGGAGGGCTTGATAGAATTTGAACTTAAGAGCTAAAAAAATATTATATCTGTCAGTTTCACAGAAATGGGTGGGAGAAATAGGTAAATGAGCATTCAGCAGCTAAGGAACAGCTACTCATTTACAGAGATAAAATAATTATCAGAAGAAACTTCGCAAATGTCTCAAGGGGCCTTCCAAGTCCAGAGAAGTTGGGTTCAATACTGAATTAGTAGCTATCACAGTCTTCTGCAGTTATTGAAGAGTTACATCTTTATTATGGTATACATTTTTGCAGATTAAGAGTTGACTTCATCAGAAACATGACATCTTAATTTGGTTGCCAGTTATATGGACACAGAAGGGTGTGGAGAAAAAAGGAAATGAAGAGTGGAGTCAGAAAAAAGTGCTGTCTGTGTAACAGATTACCTATTTGACGTAGATTCCACTCCACAAAAGGTTATACTATAATGAATTTGTGAACGTTAAAAGATTCCCTAAGGTTGCTTGATGTTAATAGTGACCTATAGTCTTCAAATAATCCTAGGTAGAGAGAAAGATTGAAAAGTACCGTTGTTTCCTAAAGCTGTTTCCACCGAAAGAGTTAAAAAAGTACTGTCAGTGATCTAGAAGCTCAGCACTTAGTAAAATAAAATTTTATTTATCAGTTGAACAAAGTTTTCACCTCTCTTTGAAAGCAGACAAATGAGATTAAGTATTGGAAGGAATTATAAAGGATTTAAATGTCATGGAAAACTAGAAAAGGAAAGGAAGAAGACAGAAGACAGCCCCAAAAAGACTACACCATTTCAAAGTCAAGAAAGAAACTGGAGAAAATACTAAGAGTCCATCTGAAATACCAAAATAAATTCCTTAATCATTATAAATTGATCATTAAAAGCCTTTATACCGGAACTGCTGCACAGAAAACACAATTATGTAGAAAACTGCACATAAACTTAATTTGAACATGCACAAGAAAGCAGGGGTTGATCACAGTTCTTGCTCCCAGACACAGAGGAAGAGGTGCTACAACTGTTAAAAATGTGACTCTCCAGGCACATCAGTTCTCCTCCTCTTCTCTTGCATGTATCTATAACAACATTCAGAGCAATTGTCCCTCTGAATAACAGCAGTTGTGGAGCCAACAGTGCAGGAAAGGCTGTTGCCTTCATCCACCCTGTGAGGCTGGGAGTATCCTAAGGGGCACTCCTCAGAGTGTGCTGTCCACCTCCTTATGTGAAGATACGTTGGGAAAGATGACTACCCAGAAAAGATCTTAGAAGAACTATGCTTAAGTGAGAAGGGGCAGAGAAATAGGGAAAGAAGGAACCAACAGAGGGTGACATTTTGGCGGAAAGAGAGGGAGATATAAAAGGAGGAGAGGAGGGGCAATTGGGATTAGGAGAGGAGGAGGCCTGTTGGTTAACACAAGAGAAAGATGAACGCAATTTGGTAAGAAATAGTGCAAGAAGATCTGTGGACTGGGGAATGGACTGAGATGGAAGTGCCTGGAGACTATGCAGAGAAGGAGTGGAAAAGGAAAGTACATCGCAAACCACCTTATTGGGGTGAAACTGAGAAAAGAGAACAGCAGAAGAAATGTAGACTGGCAGAGAGGCACAGAGATAGAAGAATAGGGGATGTTCCGAAATTCCTGGGAGACCCCGTGGAGCGAGTCCTTTCCCACCCAGATTACGACCGAACCCAGCAAGAAGGGTTGGGAGCCTCAGGTGGGCAATGTAGGCTAAGCACTACATTATACAAAGAGTCAGGCATCCCATATAAGTGGCAGTATCAAGATTTTAGTTCTATGCCTCTACCTGTTGAAAGGGATTTATTGTGGTTTGATGATAAGGCAGTTGAAGATATCTCTGAAGCAAGAGGTTGAGTCGGTTACTAATGTTAAATATAACAAGCTGTCGAAAATAAAATAAAATAAATCTCTGAGTAACGAATGGTGCCCAAGAGCCATCTATGGTGGGCAACACAGTAAAGGAAGAAGAGGAAACCAGACCCAATCTCACACACACACCTTGCAATTTTCAATTGGCACCCTGGATGGCCAGTGTTGAAGAGATAATGGTGGACAATGGTTCTAAGTCTAGTAGGCCTCTTTCCTCAGTGGAGAGTTTCCACTGAGGAAAGAATTCACACTCTTACAGAATAAATCCTCATGCACAACTGGAAAGTCAGTACCATAGTGCCAAGATCTGTGGGTCCACTTATCTGCACCAAGTCTCACTTCATAAAGCTATTCTACAGTACCTGCATTCATGTCGATCAGTTGCTCTCTCTTCTGTTGCTTTTCTTGTCGTTCTTTCTCTGCCTTTTCTTTGGCTAGTTTAGCTCTGCGCATCTTCTCTTCTGTCTCTTTCCGCTTCTGGTTGTCCTTCACAGCTTGCTAAAACCAAAACACAGCTAAGAATGTTAGATAGACAAAGGGGAAGATTAGAGCAATGATCCATATCATGTCTTCTTCTCAAGTATTATACGTATAATTTTTTCCAAAAATATAAGACATACATTTTGTTCGTGAAAATCCCACAGCGCAAGGCTGCTGATGTCATCGGCCAGGGAAATTTTCTGGAAATTAAAACATTTCCCAAGGCCCCTACAGGTCTCAAGTAATCCCTTTCAAGTTTTTGGAACCTGTGGTGGATGAGGGATTACAGGAGAAAGTCTTTAATTACCAAAAATTGCAGCTGTCAGTGAAGTCATCTGAGTAAGAAATGACCCCCCCCCCTTCTTTAGACATTTAGTCTCCTGGGCACCCTTCTTCTGCTTCATCCCTGGGGATGATATTAATCTAACACGTCAGAAGGGTGTCAGGTTGGAGAAGAACTCAGATGTGGATCTGAGGACTTCAATGAGGAGCAGAAGCCTGACAAACAGCAATTCTAGTCACATATGTGCATGATAACACATTTTAAGGGACAACCATTAGCATCTCTTGAAGAAACATAGCAAGGGCAAAATATGGAACATCTACAACAGAGGATGCCCATCTCCCAGTGAGCACTTGAGAGTGCCTGGAAGTACTTTGCTGTCTGCTGCAGGAGGCTGGAACAGAGTGTCAACCTGCAATAAAAAAATGATAGATGGGTATGACGCTCACTATAAACATATTTCTGAAGTTGTGCAGATCAGTGAAGAACTCTTCAACAGATGTTTTATTGGTGTCAAACAGGAAGTATTGTCCTAACTCCTTATAGAGGTTTTCCATGTTTGAGTGCATCATCCGTAGCTTTTCGTATTGCTCTTGCGCATCCTTAACAAAGCTGTAAATCTTGAGTCAAAGATCACACATGATTGCAAATGGGCATAATTATTTAAGTTAACTGGTTTAATGTCAATGTTGCTACGAGTTCATTTTTTGTGCTTTTGTAATGCTCATGAACATTCATATATGATTTCTATTCAATCTTTCCATCCAGGTCCACTCATACAAAACATCAACATATAGGGCAACAACTTCTTTCAATATTTACATGAGTATGGAACTCCAAGGAAAACTGCAGCAGCAATCTGATGAACTGCCACCCAACATGCAGACAGGCACATGACCAACACCTCATCAGATCACAATGGCAGCTTCAGCTGTTGAAATTCAGTATACAAATATATTAAACTGGAGAGTGGCCATACTTAAAGTTGCTTTACCCATACAGTACACTCTATCCAAACAGTTCCCAATCTTGGGTCCTGAGATGTTCTTGAACTAAAACTCCCAGAAGCCTTCACCTGGGACTCGTAGTCCAAGAACACCTGGCGGCCCAAGGTAGGGAAGCACTGCTCAGTCACCTAAAAGCCAGTACTGATTAAGCAACAGTGGCCATTCTCATCATCTTTCGTACCATCACATTCTTTTGACTGCTGGCAACTAGAGAGTTTGCTGGCTGGTCGCATATAAAAAGTGTGCTCTTTTCTTCCAGGTCTGCAGGGCTTTCTGATGCCCAAGGCAGAGAAGGAAGGAGGAGCCAGGTGACGCTGCTGAGCCTAAGGAGAGCTGCTAAGGAAAGACAGGGGAATCTTCTCAAGCTGTCATTTTTACTGAACAACCTTATCTCAGGCTGCAGGGCATCTGCAAAGGTACAGAATGTCTTCCTAGCCACCAGAACTAACAGTTATTAATATAGTAATACGTTAAAGCATTATCTTTTGCTTCCCAAATTGGCACTATGAAGACTTGCAAATGGGGCGTGCAGACTATGAGATTTTCATAATGAAAAAAATAATCATCTTAAGTTAAAAAAAAAATTGGCCTGAATCCTATTAGCATTCCTGTAACTTACTGTGGCAAATGAAGCTACCTGACAAGGTGCCAGGGAACATCTCAGCTGTGCAATCAGGCATGGGATCAGGCACACAACCAAGACATGCCCTGGCACCTTCTTAATTAGTCCCAGCAAGTTATGCAAGCCTTATGCAAAGACCAAGAGGACCCTGGACTTCATTTTCAAAGTTTGTGTTGTTTCTCTTATTTCTCAAGGTGAATTACATTTTTATTAACATTTTGTGACAAGAAAAAGGTTGCTATTAGAGATGGGCACAAACTTTGGTTTGGAGAGTCATGCTGGTGCCACGCGCTCCCTTTCCTTGCCTCCCTGGCCAACGACCCACGCACCAGTTGGAGCACGCTCCACTCCTCTCCTCCGCCTCTTTGGCTGTTCGACCAGTCTCCAGCAGGAGCACAGGGTGGCCTGTCCCTGCCTCCTTCTCTTGAGCAGGTGGATCAGCCAAGGGGGCAGGGCAGGGCTCCTGCCAGAGACTGGTTGAACAGCTGAAGAGGAGCATGCGCTGGCTGGTGAGTGGGAGGTTGAGCCAGGGAGGCAAGGGAAGCAGACACAAGGCACCTGCGGTGCCCATTGTACGAAGTAGCACAAACCTCTGAGCCAATGTCTTGTCCATCTCTAGTTGGCTTAGAGCAATTCTTATGAATTAATGATCCCCAAATGGCCGTATCATTAATGGCCCTACTCATTTCTTGCAAATTAACAGCCATGGTTTTCTTTGGTGAGACAGATACTGTATGTTTTCATTTAAAACTGAAAAGTACAGACTGCATTTTCCTGGGAACTACCAGTCTAAGGATTATGAGCACGCTGTGCTTGCAAACAGAAACTGAGCTTCACTGATACCCAATTACAGCTGTGTAGCTGCCATCTTAGTTGGGTGCTCTCAAGACAGCGACAGGGAACTAATGAACGACAGGATGCTCCCTGAATGGCAGCTCCCATCATACCTTGCCATTGGCCAAGCAAGCCAGAGCTGGCAGGAGCTGCAGTCCAACAACTTTTACTAGACCGCAAGCTATCCAGGTCTGCCTTCATGACTTGGGCCTTTTCCAGAACGGTTTTTAAAAGTTACATATCTGCTCAGGTTTTCAAAAAAATAAGATGACCTCAGAGGGCCTCTTGATCCTCATGCTGTTCACAGGATTGCTTCTTCCACACACTACTCCCCACTGTTTCCCTATGCAGTAGTTTTGAAGGATATAGTCATTTTCTCTACAAATTTATCCTTCTCTTCTGTGGTGCTGGGGAAATTGTCAACATCACGCTGCACATCCGAGATCTGTTTCTTCATTAGGTCCAGACTCTTCCGTAAATTTTCAGCAGAAACTTCATGGTTTGTGGAGGGAAGGGGGACAGAAAAAAAAAGAACACAGGTATAAGAAACAAAGATTTATCTTCATTTACTATAGACACCTACTCTCAAGCAAAGCAAGAGGACATGCAAATATCCCATGGGAACCTCTTCCATTAGACCAAGAAGCAGAGCCCACTACGATAGACTTCTCGAGATGTGCTTCCCCACTCCTCTAAACTCTACTAGAAAAAGCAGTGCCTCCCTACAAAACCACAGCCACGGAAGGGGGAGCACACCAGTGCATTGAACAAAAAAAACATACAGAAGGGACAGCTTGCTATCCTTTCACATGACTAATATCCAAAAGAACACACTGGTGCCATATAATGTGAGAGGCTAGATGATGTCCTTAAAAACAGAAATTCATAATTAGCGCTAACGTGAATAAGATGCTATTTGTGTAAGGCATTGAAAATTGATTGCTTCACTTCTTTTTACAAGCAGCCTTGTGCCTTGTGCCTGTGCCTTTCACAGATACTATGAACAAGAACTTGTAATGTTTCTGACTTTGAGCCTCAGAGCAGAAATAGCAAACAATTGTAATCTTTGTAGAAAAATCCAGCAGTAGTTGCGAAAATGTTCTGATCAAAAATTATGTTATCTTTATAAGCATACTGGCAGAAAATGCAAAACAAAATTCCTTACTAGCACCAGTAGGAAAAAAAAAAGAAAAAAAGTATCTATTTCTTATTTCAATCACTGTGGTAACATAATGCTTTCGTATATGTTTTGGTAATGTTCCTAGTAAACTATTTTTTGATAACATAAGTCAAGAGCCACAAGAGCCTCGTGGCACAGAGGTTAAACTGCTGTACTGCAGCCAAAACTGTGCTCACGACCTGGGGTTCAATCCCAGGTAGCCAGCTCAAGGTTGACTCAGCCTTCTATCCTTCCGAGGTTGGTAAAATGAGTACCCAGGTCGCTGGGGGGGGGGGGATGTGTAGCATGCATAATTAACTTGTAAACCGCCCAGAGAGTGCTTGAAGTTCAATGGGGCGGTATATAAGCAGCACGCTTTGAAAGGTAAAATGCAGGTTTCTAACACTGAAGCTAACTGGATAGTTAATTTTTTTCATTAGATGCTTAGTACTTTTGATAAGAGGCTGAAGCAGTACTTGGAAACAGTAGAAGTTTTAATTTTATGGACAGAAACTCGGGTTAAAGAAATAATATAAAGACAGGCAAAGCAAGTAGACACCACAAAACTTATTAGCTGAGGTAAAATTAAGCATATTGATGGTACTGATTACAAAATTGTATATAGTTAATTAGACAGAGGAATACTGCATATAGTGGCAGGCACTCTACGCCATCTACTAGAGTAAGAAATATTCTTCCTTCAGTGCATACCAATAATTATTGATTAATAGTACATATGCACCAACACTGTCATCCACTACAAAAGTGAAAAAGAAATTCTACGACAATCTGGCAGCTACTATCAAAAAAGGCCCTGAAAGAGAGTCACTGTTCATTCTCGGAGAATGACTTTAATGCTAGAGTTGGTGCTGATCACAATTCTTGGCCCACCTGTCTAGGCCGTTTTGACATTGGGAAGATAAATGAAAATGACCAACGCTTGCTGGAGTTTTGCTGTTATTACGGTCTTTGTGTCAGCAACACATTCTTTAATACGAAGCTTCAGCACAGAGTTTCTTGGAGACATCCAAGATCCAAGCATTGGCATCAGATTGATCTGATCTTCATTAGACGTTCTAGCCTTCCTAGTATTACTATCACACGCAGTTACCAGAGTGCTGATTGCAATACTGATCACTCCCTGGTGTGTAGTAGAGTAAAACTGTGAACAAAGAGATTGCATCACACGAAAAAGGAAGGAAGACTACATATTGACATCAGCAAGACTCACGATCAAAGAAAAGTGGAGGAAACCCTTCCAGGCCCGGCTGATGCAAATGCACCTGAATGATGGGAACATTTCAAGAACGCTGTGTATAACACTGCCTTGTCCACATTTGGCAAAAAGACCAAAAAGAGGGCAGATTGGTTTGAAGCCCATTCGGAGGAGTTGAT